CAGACCAAATATTTAACCTAAAGTATTTAGAGCTTTTGAACCTCTCCACAAATCATTTGTCTGGAAAACTTCCTTTGTCAATAACGAGCCTTAATTTCTTGAAAGAATTTGATGTCTCATATAATAATTTGAAAGGAAAAATACCGACGGGCATGCAGCTCCAAAGCTTCAATGCTTCTGTATTTGAGGGGAACCTTCAAGTTTGTGGCGCTCCACTTCCAAATAAGTGCAGAGACATTGATGCAGATAATAAGAATAACGTCGACCAAGATGCGGATAATGACCGTGATGAACTTCCCTGGTTTTATATTTTTGTAGCCTCAAGCTTCATTATCGGATTTTGGGGAGTTTGCTGTTCTTTAGTTCTTAACAAGACATAGAGGTACGCGTCTTTTCGATTCCTGGATAGTGTACAAGATTCATTGTATGTGAAGATAATAGTGTGCATGGCTAGGATGAAAAGAAGGATTAGGGACTAGATTGTACTTTTCATTTTAAATAAAACAATTTGGATACACAAAATCTACCCACTTGCTAACACACTGTCTAGTAGAGGTGGGCCCTATTATGTATTAAACAGTGTTAATTTTGTGTATTCAAATAATATGACTTTTTCTGTTTTTTGTTTGTTTGTTTTGTCCTGATGTAAGGTTTGTTCTAATATATATGATAGTACAATAAAACTATTTGGACACACAATATTAACATTCTTGTTGACACACTTTTCAGTTTTTACTTTTGGTGCATGTGAGCTCTACCATTGTATGTGGGTTTCTCTTATATTAAAGTGTGTGTCAACAAAAATGTCAATTTTTGTGTCCAAGTAGCCGGAGTAGGGTTCTTTCTCCTTCTAATCTCCCTCCTCTTCCCTCCTCTCCTATTTGAACGGTTACGACTAAGTCACGTTAACATCTTGTGTTAACTTTTTATTTATAGAAAGACATAAGACAATGTGAGAAGAGGAGAGGAAATGGGATTGAATAAAGAGGGAAGAGAATTGTATTCCTAATAGCCTCAACAATAGTATTATATTCTTTCAAGTTTTGTCATGGTGGTGACCTACTGGTAAATGCCGGATTGCGAGGCTTCCTTCAAATTAAAAACTGGAGGTCTTAGGTTCGAAACTTGCTGCTAGGCTGGAAGCCAGACTTGTGGCCAAGGAGAGGCTGAAATGCCTTTGTGAGTTTTCGCGACTTCTGGAAAGGATGGATAACCGTGGTTTGCCACCAGTTGTCATTTTATATATATATATATATATATATATAAATATATATATAAACACCAAATGTCAGATCTGAGTATTTTTTTTTATATGAACAATTAACAATGTTCATAAAATGACGACAATTAACTTTATGAAGCAGTTTTTATATGAACTTTGGAAATATACAAAATTCGTCATGACAAAAGTTTTACTTGTATTTGATTTGCTAACCATCTTGTAACAGTTACTTTAAATTTCAGTCTCTTGTTCGTGATTTAGCATCCAAATCAAAATAAATTGAATACTTATTTTTTTCGTTCTTGTCTCATTAGTATTTCATATTTGATAGATTTTGTTCATATGAAATCGATATTTCGCATCAGTAATATGGCGTTGATTTCGATACCAATATTGCCCTTCAAGCCATTGGAGTCAATCCGTGTCCTCTTGTTGATTATATCATATCACCCATTTGATTTCAATCAAATGGCACTAACCAACCCCCTCCACTCCTCTTACAAACAAACAAACAAAACCACATAAACCTGTGCAAGTGCAAACTGAGCTAAGTTTTGTGAACCCCAAAGCCCACCAAAAGGGAGAAGCAAACATTTTTCCCATCAAATCAAACACACAGCCTTGTGCAGTTTGCGCAGGGGCCATGGCTGCCACTAGTGTGTGCAGACAGCATCTTGTTACGAACCCAAAATATAACTGAGATTTTATGCTTTAGTTTTAGGGAATTGTAATTGGCACTCTAAAAATATCATTTTACACTCTAAATTTTTTACAATCAGAAAGAAAAATATAGCTATAATGAGTGTAGAATGAGATTTTAGGAATGCTAATAACAACTTCCTGATTTTATTGTGAGGAATTGTTAAATATGCCAGCTGGCATTTAAAAGTGTAGAGTCTGTATAAAAGGAGCCTAGCTCCCATAAATGGATCAGATTAGTTATATTTTACAAATGAAATCAAATACAAAAATGTGGAGCTCTGCTCTGCTCTCTTCATTCGTTTAGCCATGATTCTGAAAATTGGAGTGCCATATTCCGTTTACTTTTGTTTGGTATAATTGCATACTATAGTGTTCATCATGCTATCACCCGTAGTGTCTGCTTGAATGATAAATTTGGGTGGGTAAATTGGTATCTTGTGGGAATATTTGTGAAGAAGGATTTGTGTGCATCAAAACTGTTTGATGAAATTTCTATGAGACAGAATCCAGACCATGTATCATTGATACTGTTCTTAAGAGGTACTCTGTTCAATCAGATTGGAAGGCTCATCATAAGACATGCGGAACTAGGGAATACAGATATGATTGTGGCACTCTCTTCTCAAGGCAGGACAATTTTATCACTCATAAGGATAGTGAGCCCAGAAGAGTGGGATGCATTCAATGAAGTTCTTCGAAATTGCTTAAGTTTGTTAGCCATGGAAGCTGCCAGTGAATTGCTTAAGTTGATGACAAATAATGGCGGAGTAGGGATTGTCAGGATAGTCCAATCTGCTTGTGCAATAGGTGAAGACATTGAGAATGAGGTATGAGCTCACTATTTTAAATCGAAAGTTAGCAATGGTTCTTCGAAAGTCGCTGCCTGCTGCTTTTAGCATCAATTCAAGTAGCCAATTTTGTTTGGATATTCGAAGACATTTGGAGAATGACTCAATCTGTGGTAAGTGAAGGGGGCGAACTGCAGCCTATTAGGCCGTTGCCTTGGTACCTTCTGAATTTAGCTTAGCATTCAAACTATTCTCGCATGCAACTGAGGAAGAACCAAACACTTGAGAGGTTTCGTGAGTTCTTAAAGCTTGGAAATGAGATTGGAAACATCACAAGATAGTAGGTTGTACACATGGTACCTCCACTATTCCTTGATGTATGTCCAAATCATTTTGTACTTGATACATGCGCTACATGACCAGATTCACTAAAACTTCCAATTGCTTGAGGTTATACACCAATCAATAAAACCAGGATCCCTACCTGATGGATTGATTATAACTAATGATCTTGATGTCCAAAGATGTAATTTACTCACCCATCAAACAAAAAAAAAAAATGTGCACAGCCATCTTGATAGTCACTAATCATGAAGCTCAGCACTTTCCTAGTTGTGGTGCACAGTCCACTGCTGCTGAAATATGACCTGAAATGGAGCCACCCATCAGCCAAGTTTTCTTTGGTTGTGTTCTATGTGATTGCCCTTGCAGTGGTGATGGTACCATTGGCAAGGCTCCTGATATGTGGAGGAAATGGCATGCTGGATTGGGCAATGGGGTTCATCCTCTACAGATTCAGACAGCTATGTGAGGTATATTGCTGCTTAAAGTTGGCAGAAGAATGGCATACTCTACATGCTCTCGAAATTCAGTTGAAAATGAAGTTGTGGTGAAAAATTTATATTGAATCATGATAGACCTGGTACTCACTTGACTGGGTTGTTGGAGCAAATATACAATGGTTGTGGTTGAATTGATTAGAATAGAAAGGAAGTCTTCATCAACAAAAAGGGCTTTGTGTACTGGTATTCCATTTGGTAGCGAGGGATTTGGCTTTGAGTTGGACAAAAATGGTGCTGACAATAACATCAAATATTTGGTCAAAATTTATCCAATGCTTAAAACGGAAAACATTGTTGATATGCAGGACTTGAGTTTGTTGTGAATTTGGCAAATCACTTAAATGCTACTCCCGCAGACACCAAAGGCAAGGACACCAATTGCTCTCACTCGACTGCTGTCTCGGCTTGCACCGCCACTCTTATCTCGATTGTTCTAATTGACAAGTTTCCTGACTTAGTCCCTGGGCAGATGGTTGCACCCTTGCTGATTGTGAATCTATGCAAGAAAGCAAAAGAAAGTGGCAACTCTGATTTTGGGTTCGTCAATTCTAAGCTTCCCCAATTATTTGAATTTTGTTGTTCAAACAAGATGTTTGCAGAAATGTGGGCCTTGCCAATATGGGATCATGGTGCCCCTAATGTGGAGGAAGCTGCTACATCTTGGGTTCTTTCTAATGTTTGATATTGTGTTTGGTCATAAATTTGAGCTATTCCATGACTGTATAAGTGGGGGCGTCCACTTCACTGGATAGTTTTTGTGTAGTGAGGAATGTAATTGTGAAATGGAGGATACACCACCTACTACGGCAACTACTTCGGTTGATAAGGGAAATGCAAAGATGGATGGTACTGAGATAGTAAAGAAATCTAGTAAATCTGAGCAAAAGGAAGCTAGTAGCGAAGATGATAATGGTGAATCAAAGGATGAAGAGTTTGGTGATTATCAGTTGTTGGCTGGGGATGATAGCAGTGGAGTTTTGGAAATGTTTAGCAAGGTGGCCTGCAAATGGAAGTTACCTGCAGGAACCAAAATACACCCAATATTTCATGCTAGCTGTTTGAAACAGCAGTGGGGACGATCTGTGACGCCTTCTAGTAATCTGCCAATCATCACAGATGATGGATTGGTGCAGGAAGCTCCTATGGCAGGTTACCAAGAAGAGTGTACAAGAAGGAAAATGCTGCTGAAGTTCAAATTTTGGGGCGGTGGCTTAGAACTAGAATGGCTAACTGGGAGGACAATGATGATCTCAACTCCTAGTATCCACAATTCTACTTTAACGGAAAATCATATTTTTACTTTAAAAAGTCAATTATGATACTATTCACTTTACCATTTATTTTATCTTTATCGTTAAAACTCAAATTCCTAAATCTTTTTTATTAATTTTCTTTTAGTTTATTGTTAGGAATTGTTAATTATGCCAGCTGGCTTTTAAAAGTGCAGAGTCTGTACAAAAGGAGCCCAGCTCCCAGAAATGAATCAGATCAGTTTTTACAAAAGAAATCAAATACAAAAATATTAAGCTCTGCTCTTCTCTCTTCCTTCCTTCCCTCGAGTTCTTCAGGTGCGAACATATCTTTCTTTTGAGGCAATTAATGATTATTGATCATAAATCATGTTTTTTTTCCCTTTCCATTGCCCAGTTTCTTGTAATTTTGATTACCCATTTGGTTGAATTGTGGATTGGATAAGCTGAAATGACAGACAAGAAAAAGGTTGGATAAGTTGAATGTGTGATGGTTTTAATCAGTTATTTATTTATGTATTACATGTATTAAACAAGACGTAGTTGAAGTGCCAAGAGTTACTTAACTTGGGTCCGTTCAACAACCATTTCGCTTTTAGTTTTTTTACTTTTTGGTGCTTGAGATAAAGGAAAGTATACGGGGGGAAAGGAGGGATGAAGAATCGTGGTAAGAGGGAAGAAGAAACAAAGAAGAATGAATGAAAATGAAATCTTGAGAGTGAAATTAACTTATTTTTGTATCTGATGATCTGCTATGTAATCACTGGATTACTCTCCTTGATACAGCTTCAGGAATATGCCATTTAACTCAAGCTATAAATGGAGATGTTGATGATATGCTTAAAGGAGTGGCAGACAAAACTTTTATTGAAGAAGTAAAGCGTGTTCTCGAGATGGTACTTCAAAACTTGTATTAACTTTTCTTAACTTAACCCTTCCTTTTATAGAGAATTATGAAGTTCATATTTTTGGACCGTTTGAAATAATTTATAACGTAAAACTGACACATGAATGTAAGGTCACGTCGAATAGGTTTTGCCTTATTTGTTCGTGGAAGAAGATGAAGAGATGAGATGTTTCTAAGTTGTCATTCTTGGTTTTCCATTTATTGTAGGCTAGACGCGCATCATAGAGAAGGGAGGTTCTCCATACAAATGTTCTCACCCCTCCAGTGGTGAAGGAGTCAATGCTAGCTGATCTGAAAGCAGTTGTTCAGGGTGGATACCCGCATGTTTAACTAAATAGGTTTTACTCTGCGTTGCGCTTGAACAAATCAAAATGTACATGTATTAATTAATATATTGCTGCTTCAAATTGTCTAGGCTGAGCGCTGTAGGATTTCTGTAGGACATCCGGAAGTATTGACAAGTGATCCTGATGTAATTGCAGCATTGAGGTATTAATATTGTGTCTATACCTCTTTTATTTATCCAAGCATCCGTCCTTTGATTGAAGCGAAACCTTATCTTAAGTTTTCACTAATGGTTCTTCCAGTATCACAGGAAACTTTGGGTTCCAGCCATGTTCTCATGGTGATTTCCTAGGCGCAATTCTTGGTACAGGGATTGATGACCAGGGAGAAGCTTGGAGATCTGCTTGATTCGGTACTGTCTTTCCACTTATACTGAACTCTCGCTCAATTTTATAGTTTATTGGTCTTATGCAACTTCTTACTTAGACGGGTTCTTTCGTTTTCTTCATGATTAGGTATCCACTCATCCATCAAGAATAAAACACTCACACTTTTTAAGTGTTTGATCCTTACCGTATGAAAAGATCTACAAATTCAAGATTTGTTTTTCACTATGTTACTTTCTAATACCAAACTCCCAATGTAATTGAACATGATGTGCATCACTGAAATTTTTTCGTAGCCTAAAGAATCTTGGAAACTGAGAACACGGTACAAAGTTTTTTCTTATCTGTGCAGTGATGGTGATGTGCGTGTGAACTGGACCCCTGTTACTGAAAATGGACCTAGATCTTGGAAACTACTTTTTTTTTTTTTAATTTTTTTTATCAAATTACTATAAACACCATACATGAGACACATTGGTACTTCTTGAACAGTTCCTGATACCTTTCCAGTATGTTTGTAAGTAGAACAATTGGATCTGGAATCGTATTCCATTCTTATATGTTAGAGCAGTATAGAACTGTATTGTTAAGTTGCAAGCACTTATTACACGTTTGTTGAAGAGTTTGAGTATTTATATTCATGTTTAACTCTTAATTGGTCTTTAGCATGGCATTTCTGATGCTCAAATTTACACGTTTGTTGAAGAGTTGAGCTCATTCTTCATCTGTATGTTTTCTAAACGGGGAACAATCTAACATCACCGTTCATGGGATCTGAATGAATCTTGAGGTCACATTTTTGTAGCCCAAAAGCCGGAGGTTTTCTTCTAAAAAGCAAGCATACGTTGCTTCGAAGTTTAACTTGCTTTTGTAAGTTCAACGGTGTATATTTTTCATTTCCTTACATTGTTTGAAAGTAGAATTGTACTTTCTCTGTTGTGTTATCTATACAGTTATTTTTTTGAACAAAATCTATACAATTATTAAGAGATCCTAATTTGTCGACTATCGGCTGTGAAATCCCAAGTGGGCTGAGAAAAGTGTGAAAAATAATGGGCAAAAAGAAATTATGCTGAGAAAATTACACCAAATGCAGGACCTTATTAGTACAAAATCTGAATCCAGATACAGTTTACACACTTTCCAACTAACAAAACAACACAAAACAAATGAAACTGTCTTTTTGCTCTTGTGGGTACTGAAAATAGCCATCTGTTTATTCATTTCAATAATCTTTAAACTCTATGGTATGAAACCTTCGAATATTCAACCATATCCACAAACTGAACAAACACATTTTGCTCTGCGGGAGCATCTCTTTTCGCACATTTCGCATCGTTTCAAGCTATCTGTTTATTCATTTCAATTTAATTATTGTTATTACTTTATCCATGTTAATCTGGTTGGTGTTAGAAACTGACACGAGTTATCAATTTGACTTGCTTCAGGAGCGTGAAAAGAAGGCAAAGAAGTCGTCATCTGCAACAGAGTCCAAGTCCGAGGAACCGATAGAACCTGTTGCTGAGGTTGCAAAACCAGAAAAGGTAATTGAAAAGGTTGAAGCTCCTGTCCCGGCAAAGGCGAAGGCACAAAAGGATAATATTCTGAGGAACAGAGGTCAAGCTAGAGGTTCAGAAGCACTACTGAAAGACATCCTGAAGAGGAAAAAGTCGAGTGCTAACTGTCGGCTATGAGCTGCTCCTGCTGCTGAGTAGTTGTGTTGTTTCTAGTACTTGGTTACTACTATCTTCATTGAGGAAGGTAAGCTGGAACTGACTTAGGGTAGAGAAGGATCGAGAACTACAGTTTTGTGCTTGACAGACGTGCGATAACGACTAGTCTGTTTAGTTAAACTAAGTTATTTCTGTTCTTTATACCCTTTCGCGGGATGGACTCAAATGTTTAAATGGCATCAGGCATAGCTTCTTAGGTTGATTAACAGATGAAAGGTGAAAACCTTATAGCAGAAAGCTTAGAGAGAAGGATGAACATAGAAAATAGAGAATGCTCAGTATATCCAAGGTGGATTCTTTCTCATTACAAAATAGTCTCAGCCAATCATCTAGCTTGTTGCTAGGATTACAACACCTAGCATTATTTTGCCTTACAACCATATAACTTCGCACTTGGTATTTTAACTCAAATGCATACACACATTAATACAAAGCTTATTCCTAATCAGTTATACACTTACAATTCAACACTCCCCCTTAAGTCTAAGGCCGATTTCACTCCAAGTTTGCTTCTGAGAAGATTAAAACGATCCTTTGCGAGAGGCTTTGTGAAGATATATGCTAATTGCTCTTTTCTGGGGCAATAAACTAGGTCAATGATGCTTTCCTGCGATGCATCTTTGATAAAATGGTATCTCCTATCAATGTGCTTGGTCTTTTGATGAAACACAGAATTCTTTGTAATAGCAATGGCAGAAGTGTTATCACAGTGAAGAGGGTTTGCTTCAGTTTGCAATTCTCCAAAATCCTCTAGTACAAACCTCAGCCATATTGCTTGAGTTGTGGCTTCTGATGCACTTATGTATCCAGCCTCTACAGTTGAAAGTGCAACACAGTTTTGCTTGACTGAAGCCCAAGAGAACACACCACTCCCAAAGGAAAATGCATATCATGATGTACTCTTGCATTCCTCCAATGAACCACCCCAATCACTGTCACAATAGCTAATTAAACAAGCTTTTCTTCCCTTCACACACTCCAGACCATAATCCAGAGTCCCCTTGATGTATCTGAGTACTTTCTTTGTAGTTCCATAATGTCTATTAGTAAGACAGTGCATAAACCTAGCCAATAGACTTCATGCATACATTATGTCAGGCCTCGTGGCAATGAGATATAGAAGACTTCCCACAATACTCCTGTACATTTCTTCACTCGCAGATCCATTTCCATCATCTTTAACTAGCTTCTCAATTGCTACAAGAGGAGTTGTAACTGTCTTTGCTTCATTCAAAACAAACTTACTCACTAGAATATATTTTAATCTTTAGTTGTGTTTTGTTGTCTTCCTTCTTATGAGTCATGACCCACGGAGACTTCACTTTTTGGTGTCTTTCGTGGCATGAAATTCTCTTGAAACGTAAATAGGGGTTTGGATAATTCTAAGCAAAAATTAAATCATTATAAATTATTAAAAATAAAATAAAATCGGCTGCATACCTTTGGTTGCTGCCACACACACACACACACATATGTGTGTGTGTGTGCAGACTTGTTAGCTTTAAGCAATACCTAAGTTAAAAAATGACCCATGCCTTCCTCCTCATCTTTTTATCTCTTACATCATCTCTACAACAAACATTCATGCATGCAACCAAATTGAACGCACCTCCCTCTTGGCCTTTGCTATCATTCTATCTTCTCCTCTGAATTGGAGTAGTTCTGTTGATTGTTGTCATTGGAATGGTATCACTTGTAATCGAGAGGGTTGGGTCACTCATTTGCTCTTACGCTCCAAAGGGCTCAAAGGAGGTATGTGTGTCTCATCACTTGGAAATCTCACACATCTCACCCATTTGAACCTTTCCCACAATTCACTTTATGGCGCACTTGAAACTCAATTCTTCTCGTCCATGAATCGCCTCGAGATCCTTGATTTGAGCTATAACCTTCTTTATGGAGAGATACCATTTTCTCTACCACCTAGAAATATCCAGACAATAGATTTGTCAAGCAATCACTTTCATGGTGCAATTCGATCTTCTTTCTTCGAACAAGCTTGGAACTTAACTAGTTTCAATGTCAGCAACAACACCTTGTCTGGATATATCTCTTCATCTACTTGTCTCCAATCTTCTCCTTCCATTAGAGTATTGGATTTTTCCTCCAATGAATTTAGTGGCAACATTTCTCATGGGTTTGGGGGATGTTCCAAATTGCACATTCTTCGCGCCGATCACAATAATTTGTCAGGATCACTTCTAGAAGATATTTATAACGCTACCAAACTTGAGGAACTTGTATTACCTCTCAATTCACTAAATGGAGCCATTAGTGAAAGAATTGCCAACCTCACCCAACTTACAATCCTTGACCTCTCCTTTAATCATTTGAGTGGTGTGATCCCCCTCAATTTTGGGAAGCTCTGGAAGTTGAAATTCATGAATTTTGATTTCAAAAGCTTAGAAGGTAATTTGCCCCCATCTTTGATGAATTGCACAAACCTCATAGAACTCCATTTGAGATTCAACTACTTGGAAGGAGACCTCACCACAGCTAATTTCTCCAAACTCAACCACCTTAGTAAACTTGACCTACTTAGGAATAACTTCACTAGTGTCTTTCCGAGAAGCCTTTACTCATGCAGGTTCCTAAAAGCAATTCGGTTGAGTGATAATCCTTATCTAAAAGGATAAATACAACCTGAGATTCTTTCATTGAAATCCTTGTCCTTCCTCTCGCTTTCTTATGTACGGTTGACTAATGTCACAAGGGCAATGAAGATACTAATGCATTGCAAAAGTCTTTACACACTTCTTATTGGCGGTTCATTTGACTGCAAGGCAATATCAACTGATGATGACATGGTTGATTTTCATGGATTCCAGAATCTTCGTGTCTTGACTTTGGATAATTGTGGGCTCACTGGTCAGATACCTGGTTGGTGATCAAACTTAAAGAACCTAGAGATGTTGTTGGGTAATAATCAAATCACAGGATCAATTCCAAGTTGGTTAGGCTCTCTCCCAAAACTCTTTTATGTGGATATGTCAGACAATCATATTTCAGGTGAATTTCCAAAACAACTTTGTAGATTACCAATGTTAATGGTGAATGCATCTCTAGTAGATAATTATGAATTTGAACTTCCCATCTTGCTCAAACCAACATGAAATACATTATATTGGCCACGTAGACCGTATAAATCTCTAGGTTCGATAGACCTAGGGGGCAATAACATTAGTGGTAGTATACCTACTGAGATCGGACAACTGCAGCTTTTTCAACAATTGTATCTTGATAGCAACAACTTCTCCGATGAAGTTCCTGACCAAATATCTAGCCTAAAATATTTAGAAATTTTGAATCTCTCCACGAATCATTTGATCGGGAAAATCCCTTCGTCAACGACAAACCTTAGTTTCTTAAGCACATTTGATGTCTCATACAATAATCTTGAAGGACGAATACCAATAGGCATGCACCAGAGCTTCGACACTTCTGCATTTAAGGGGAACCCGAAACTTTGTGGTGCTCCGCTTCCAAATGAGTGCAGAGAAATTGATGTGGATAATAAGAACAACATCAACCAAGATGAGGACAATAAATATGATGAGCTTCCTTGGTTTTGTATTTCTGCAGCCCTAGGTTACATTGTTGGATTTTGGGGAGTTTGCGGTTCCTTAGTTCTTAAGAAGACATGGAGGCATGCGTATTTTCGGTTCCTGAATAATGTACAAGATTGGCTCTATGTGAAGATGACAGTGTACATGGCTAGGATGAAAAGTACTAGATTGTACTTTTCATTATATATTCTTAATTTTAATAAAACTATTTGGACACTTGCTGACAGACTCTCAAATAGAGGTGGATCCTACCATTGTATGTGGAACGCATCTGTATTAGAAAATATTAATTTTGTGTATCCAAATAGTATGACTCTTTCCGTTTTTATTTGTTTGTTTTCATCATGATGTAAGGTTTGTTCTAGTATATATAATAGTACAATAAAACTATTCCGACACAAAATTAACATACTTGTTGACACACTTTGTAACACAAGTGAGCTCTACAATTGTATATGAGTCTTACCTATATTTAAGAGTGTGTCAACAAAACTGTCAATTTTGTGTGTCCAGATAGCATCAACAATAGTAATATATTCTTCAACTTTGATGGTATTTTTTTTTTTTTATATCATCTGTCGAGAAGAAACATATTATATCATGACGACAATTAACAATGTGAAACAATGTTTGTATGAACTTTTGGATATGTTAATGGTTCGATTCGTTATTCTGAAAAGGTGGTAGCTGAATTTCATTATTCTGAAAAATGATATACCTGGAAGATGAAGTTATTGGTTCAAAATGTGGCTTGATTTTACCGCAACAACTCGACTTAATGCATCGAGGTTGAAGGAAATTTTCATATTTTAGTCATGATTTTACGAGGCTCCTAACCTTTCCCGTAGCGCCTACATTCACTTATTCATGATACTTAATATCTTATGCATAAGTTGCAAGTTACTCAAATACGACATATTTATCAAGAAACAAATATAATATCAAATAAACTTGTTTCAATTCGTTGTGACAAAAGTTTCAATTGTATTTGATTTGCTAATCTTCCTGCAACTGTTTCTTAAAGCTTTTATACAACTATAGGCTTTATAATTTTATTTCAGATTTACAGTACTATTGCTTTAAATTTTGGTCTTTCGTTCGTGATTTAGCATCCAAATCGAAATAAATTGAATATTTTTTTCTTTTTTGGTCTCTTGTCAATATTATTATATATGATAGATTTTGTTGTTATGATGTCAATATTTCGTATGAATATAAGTTTGTTAATATGACATTAATTTCGATACCAATATTTCTCTTCACGTGTTGTGTACCCTTGCTTATTATATCATATCATCCATCTTATTTCAATCAATGGTACAAAATGAATCTATGAAGCTAAGACATACTCTGATGATACCAAGTGTCGGAAATTTAATAGTTTAGCTTCACATAGATTACTATATCAACTAGAAGCAAAGTGTACATCGAACCTGAAGAAGCCATTGAAACTGAGTATGCTGAGGAACGTCTTCTACTCAATGGGGACCTTATGTTCTCACTAGAATAGGGCTAGTTTAGTGTATAAGAATGCGCATTTCCCCTAGAGCAGGGACTAAACCTTTATAAACGTGTACCCTCAACCATTTTCTCATATCACGGAAACAGTTTGATTAAACCCCAGGTCCATTTGATTTGCAACGTGGTATATCCACTCTATACCATGTTTATCTTTATCGTCCTTCTTTAAAAGAAAAAGATTTATTTAAATATTAAACTCTAACTGTTTCCAGTTCCACTAACTTGAACCCTAATCTGATAAGTTTAGAGTCCAATAGGGTTCCAACATTCTCCAACTTGGACGTAAGCTAATCACTATTGTTTAAGCAATGTATCCACCATAAACAATTCCTTAGTGATCACATGAGTTAACATATGAACAAGTATTTCCTCACACATCCGCCATGTATAATTCAAAGCATAGAACTCCAGAAAGAACTAGTACTATCATAGTACAGTCACTCTAAAATCATTGATGCCATGAAATACTTCATGCATGATGCTTAAACATTATTATCTATTCTAAAATTGAGGAGGGATTTGACTGTAGCTTAGCTACGATCAATCTTTTGATTTTGCCTGATTTACCCTATTACCACCAAATCTGTAGCTGGGTTGGGGTTTGGGCTGGCCTTCTTTTTTTCATGGGCTTTGTTCGTTGGTTTTCGATAGAAGGCTAGCCCTCAGTAAATTTAATGACAGATCTACCCACGAAATCTTAAAATTCGAAGGTGAGGATGATGGGTTAGGAAGGGCAATTTTGTCCTCTACGTGTTGAGCGAAATGGGGAAGGTTTGGCTTGGTTGTTGTTCGATGAGGGTTTCGGGGATTTAGGCTATGCCGCCTTTGAGATAGAGAGAGATATGGGAGGATTTGTTGCGAGGAATTTTAGGGATTGCATAAAGATGGAGATGGGTTTGGGTGTCTGTTGCAGATAGAGGGATTTCATAGATTTGCAAGTCCTTCCCCTTCACACAGATGCACCGTTTCTTTCTTAATTCTCTTAGATTTGGACTTCTCTTTCTCTCTCTTTATTTCTCTCAACCTCTAGCCCCAGCGCCACTTACCCCCATTCTTCTTCATCATCTCTTATTTATTTCATCTTCTCTCGAAAAAAAAAAAAAAAAAAAAAAAAAAAAAACCCCTAGCTGCTAAATTTCTCTCAACCCTAGCGGTCCCTCGTCCAATTTCTCTTAACCATGGCCTCCATTTTAGGTCTCGAGTTCACAAAATTTGGAGAGCTTTCTCTCTCGCCTGCAAATGAAGGTGGCTGAGTACGAGAGCCTGTGGTGGACCACCGCCAAAAAACACTATGAATTTTCTCTGAGTCAGCTAATAGCAGCTGAGAACGACTCACACGACATCGACCGCCCCACCGCCACCATCTCATCGGCTTCACGCATTCTCAGGTATTCAAGTTCTTTTTACTTTTCTGTGTTTTTCTTTTTAGTGATTTTTTACCTTTTTTTTTCTTATGAGAATGCAGGTTTTGGATTTAGCATTTGATTTTCTCTAATGGGATTTTGAATTTGTTGTGTGGAAATTGGGTTTCATCTGAAAAATCTGAATGTATAGGGTTTTTGTTTGCTGATTATTGTTTGTTTTATTTGTATTTTTTCAGTTATATTTAATTTATGTTTATATTGTTATATTTCGTTTGCATCTGTTGTCTTCAGAGGAGGGGCTGGTTTTTTAATATCTTTTGAAGTGTGAATTTTTTGTTAATATTTTATATCTTTTTAAGTTTTTGTTAATTTTTGTTGTAAACGAACTCAGGTGGTGGAACTAATTAGCTATAAAACAGCCCATAGTTTTTTTAGCTTTATTTTTTATTTATTAAAATTTAAGTTTTTGTTAATTTTTTTGGCAAAGAAACTCAGTGGTGGCTATATTACTAATTACCGAGACAAGTTATGTATTCGTACGAGTACCGTATGAGTGCTCTGTGAGTTTGGGCATAATCGAGTATCACCGCCACCTCTTCAGCTTGTTTCTTTCCTAAATCTAGTATTACCAATCATTTGAATTATGAGTTTTTTTTTTTCATATTCTTTAGGTATGCTGCAAGAACAGGCCAACCTTAATTCTACTTGTCTTCTGACTTTGATGTGCTTCATTTATGCCACTGATAGGATTGAACATCAACGAAGGAAGGTGAGACTATTGTCCATGCTTGATGAGGCATGTAATCTCTCTATCTCTCTTCAAAGACTTCTGCTTTTCAATCAAAACACCCCATTGTTTTTTTTTTTCTCCCAAGTGACTGGGACAAACACAAAAAATTCCAGCCACTTACAATTATAGTTTAAAAAAATTATTTCTTTTATATATCTAGATAATTGATGTTTGTTTTTTTTATTTTATTTGTAGTTTTGGTTTAATTTGTAATTTTTATGGTGCTTAAGAATCCAGAGCTTCTGAGGTTTGATTATTTTCAATTTTTAACTTATCTTTGGGAAAGCAATTTTGATGAAATTATGTTATTGCTCCGCTTTTTGTATTTTCAGGCAATTGAAGTTGAATATGGAGAAGGTTCTGACACATTTAAACTTGTTGGACTCTCAGGTTTGATGTGGTAATGAATTTATTGAGTTATATGTATATTAGACAAATTGTGTTTTATGTTTTGTCAAATTGAATTTACTGATTATACTTTCTACTGCTTTGACTTACTACTGTTAATTTTTACTTCGAGTAGGATTTTTTTGAACGATAAATTGCAAGAAGATTTTCTTGAACAAAAAAAAAAAAAAAAGCCATGAAACCTGATGATCTAATTGCGTAATATTGAGTTTTTTGGGTGAGGGATTTCGAGTTTTCCGCCAAGTCTTTCCCTTATTTTTAGTTTTTGAGTTGCAGGTAATACTTTATGGTCAATGTGATCCTATATCTATTTAATTAATTATATTCTTAGATCATGTAGGAAGACTAGCAAGTAGCAATGTTGCTGCTTTTTAAGTCATTTATTCTTCTTATTTGGATTTGATGTGGGATATCCATGACTGATTGTTCAACCCAAAATCTGGGATTGTTGTTTTTATGGTTTTAAAAGATGAAGATTAGAGGAATTTAAGTGCTTTAGTTGAAGAAGGAAAACTGTACATATTCATGTATGACCCATATTGCTTCCTCTCTTTTTCACCTATCTGATCCTTTGGGAGTTTGATCTCCACCATATATAGTTTCTTATTCTTATTCTTCTTAATTAATAGTTATTTGAAGTAATAATATTGGTATGTGTGTGTGTGTGTGTGTGTGTGTACGGAACTTAGAACCTAGAGTGAGAGTGAGCAACTATTGTGAAATGGCCCAACCCAACATTCATTTGCAAATCTGATTTATAGAAAATCCTGCCAGACTGTCCTTGTTGCCTTCCCCTGCCAAGAAGAAAAGAGTGTTAGACTGAAAGCTAAGCATTTCAATGCTTTTTTGATTGTATCCTAATATCACCAGTACTACTACTTCCTTTCAACCCTTTCAGTTGTCATTGAATGGCATAGCGTTTCGCGATTTATCTCTGAATCTTGTCAGTATCTTAGTTGCTTGGATTTCTCAGAAACCCCTTATGTGATGAACCATATGAAAAGAATCAGTTTAAATCAAATAACTGTGAGATAAACTTATCGAATATTGACTCTTATCAATTAGTATTTTATATAGGTGGCATGATGGGATAGTCCCATCAGAGTTCCATCATGCTTGAAGTGGGCTCCTCGCAGAGCCATGTTCATTGTATGATATTCAAGGTTTGATTTTCTGATGCAATTGCTAAAGCCTATACACATTAACCACAAAATTTATTTAAAAATCTTTATTATTGGTTTTTGCATTATTTGTTGGGAAATATCCATTCCCCTCCATGCTTATAATTTTTTATGCAAGGAAAACAAGCAAGTTGGCAAATATTTTTGTGTTCCTTAAAAAATTAAGATTACTGATTTATTTCCCTTATTTCAATGCGAATGCAGCTACATAAAATCTACTGAACTAATGGAAAGACCTAGCGTATGGTTGTGGTAAAGTTTTGGTTGGTAAGGTCCTCCTGTTACTCATGTGAATCAGTTGTAGAGTGATTTTAGTGTTTGAATTTCATCTTTCAAGCATTATCTGAATTGCTTGAGTGCTTGAGTGCTTCAATGTTTGAATTAGATCTTTCAAATTGTATGTGAATTGTAGTCCGTTAGGGAATTTTTTATCAAAATGTAATGGATGCCTTTTGGGTAATAATGCGTATCAAGACCTTTGAATTTGTTGATTCAAATGTTTGAACACGATTGAAACTCACTATGTTTTTTTTTTAAGTTCGATTATGAATTGTTAATTAGAGTTGGTTAATTTTGTTACTAAGAGTTTAGGGTGAATTAACAAATCTATTGAGTGATTTGTAAGAGTCTAGAAGCAAACCTTTTGGAGAAGTTGAAGTCATTTGGGGTAAACTGATTAAATTTGACTATCCTAGCCAACATGTTTTTTGACTATTGATAACTTCTCAATCATATTTACTGATTGCAAGAATTGGTTGCATTTGAAATCAACAGCATCGCGTGGGCAATTTTTGCTAGTTTTAGCTATAAGGGAATGTTGTAGTATACTCCCACTGGATAACCCATTACCTTATCGTTGCAGCATCCTTGATGCATTCCTGTATACCATCACCAGCTATCATACATTGATTGAGTTATTCAAATCCCTGATGTTTTGAATAAACATGTGAATAACACATTTTAAGGTATAAAATCCCAATAGCTAAAGACAGTAGCTACATGCCAATAATTCAAGTCAAAATAAATATGAGAATCATCAACTCAGCAAGTACTTCAATGGTTATTTGAAAGTAGAAGAACTATAAAAACAAAAGAAAATTGATGAAAAGGGCTTGAAAACTTTGAGTTGTAATCAAAAGGACAAAAAGGTGTTGGAAGTGAATGGTATCAGGAGTGACTTTTTAAAGTAAAAATGTCTTTTTCGTTAAAAGTGAACAGTACCTAAAGTGTTAAACAGAAACTAAACAAACTTTTACTCCCACATAGCAGCTAAATCGACTCCCATCTTCGCGACATGCTCCTTGAATACTGCAACTGGCAACGCCTTAGTCCATGGATCTGCAATCATGCAACTAGTATCAATATGCTCAATTATCACTAGCCTCTTCACGTCTTCTCTAACTGATCGATACTTAATATCCATCAACCGATTGGCAGTAGATCGCTTGTTGTTCTTGGAGATGAACACAGCAGCCTTATTATCACAATGTATCACTATTGGCCTTGAGATACTGTCTACAACTCCCATAAGAGTGATCGGGTCCTTGATCCACAATGCCTTTTGCATTGTTTCAAACACTGCAATATACTCAGCTTGCATCATGGAGGTTGCAAGTGTTTTTTGTTTAGCACTTCTCCATGAAATAACTCCTCCAGCTGGGAAAAATAAAGAAGCACTTGTGGATCTTCTATGATCAACACAACCTGCGAAGTCAGAATCAAAGTATCTCTACAACTTCGTGCTCTTCACACTTCTTGTACACAAGCATGTATGACTTGATTCTTTGTAATTACCTTAATACCTTTTTGGCCGCCACCCAATGTAGTTCTCCTGGATTAGACTAGAATCTACCAAGCACACTAATTGAATAAGCCAAGTCTGCCTTGTGCATACTTAGGCATACATCAAGCTACCCATCAATGATGCATAAGGTTCGTTCAACATGCTCTGCATTTCCAATTCATTTTTTGGGCACTGGGATTTGTTTAGCTTATCACCCTTACTCATTGACACTTCACCTCCTGAGCAACATTCCATATTGAATCGCTTCAAAACCTTTTCAATGTAGGTCTTTTGTGTGATTCCAAACAAATTCCTTGACCTATCCTTGATGATCTCAATACAAAGTACAAATGAAGCTTCTCCAAGATCCTTCATGTCAAAATTCTTGACAGTAATGACTTAGTTTCCAATAAAAGATTTAAATCATTGCTCGCAAGAAGTATATCATTCATATAGAAGATGAGAAAAATAAACTTCGAACCAATGCATTTAAAATAGATGCAATCATCAACCTTACTTTCAATGAAACCAATCTATGTTGCCTTTTGATCGGTCTTCATGAACCATTGTCTTGATGCTTGCTTTAGACCATATATCGATTTGCCTAGTTTGCAAACCAAATGATCTTTTCCTTCTTCCACAAAACCAAGAGGTTGTTCCATGTAAACATTCTCTTCAAGATCACCGTTGAGAAAAGCAGTTTTAACATCCATTTGATGAAGTTCTAGGTTGCAGTGTGCCACCAATGCCAAGATTATGCGAATGGAGTCTTTTGATGAAACAGGTGAGAATGTTTCATTATAATCCACTCATTCCCTTTGGTTGAAACCCTTTGCCATCAATCTCACTTTAAATCTTTCAACTTTGCCCTTCAAATCTCTCTTTGTCTTATACACCTATTTACATCCAATGGGTCTCATTGAGTCTACCTTCTCCACCAATGTCCACACTTTATTAATTTGCACAGACTTGATTTCTTCTTCCCTTGCATGCTTCCAAGACTGAGAGTTCTCGCTGCCTATTGCTTCCATATAGGTTGCTAGATCAACCAACACTCCCTCATCATGCTCCACTTCAGTTAAGTAGGTCACATAATCATAAGAGATCGTAGACCTTCGAACCCTTTGCGATGCTCTTCTCGGTTTTTCATGTACTACTGGGTTTTCCCCAATAGCTTCTTCGACAATAGGTTCATACATTGGCGCATTTGTATGGTCATTTATTATACCACCAATCTCAAGAATAGGTAGCAATACCTTAGGTTCGAACATAATGGTTTCAAAAACTCTGGTGTGTAGGTTTTGAGCATAAAACTTATAACCCTTAGATTTTTCATGAAAACCAATAAAATGACAGCTTACGGTTCTCTAGTCAAGCTTCTTTTCTTGTGGATTAAACATCCTAGCCTCTGCCCTACACCCCCAAACACGAAGATGATTGAGACTAGGTTTCCTCGAATTCCAAATCTCAAATAGAGTTTTATTCATAGCTTTGCTCGGGACTCGGTTCAACACATAATTTGCCATCTTCAAAGCTTCTCCTCAAAGAAAATGAGGGAGAGTTGTGCGGCTCATCATACTTCTCATCATCTCTTTCAGCATTCTATTCTTTCTTTCCGCGACACCGTTTTGATCTGGTATCCTAGGTGTGGTATACTGAGCTTGAATACCACATTCTTGAAGATATAAAGCCAATGGTCCCTTATGTTGCCCAGCCTCTATAAAATCATTGATAAAGGTTACAAAAAAACACATATCCACATATTGTTTTCGTGGGAAAAGAACCACAGACGTGGATCACTTCACAGTTTTTTACTCCTGATTGAATTCTTCCTTTTAATTTTTGTCAATTTCCCCTTCTTGTTGTACACACAATCATGTAGGTTGGTGAAATTTAAATCAAGTAAAATATTTTCTTTCCCCAAACATTGCATTCTTGTTTTAGATATATGACCTAATCTATTATGCCAAATCATGGAAGAAAGATCATTAGTTAAAGTCCTTTTGATTTGCAGTGAAGAATCAAGGTTGAACAATATAAATCATTCACGATAGTGCAATCCAATTTCCAAAGATCATTGTCTAAAAGAAAAACACCAAGCAAATAATTCAAATCATTCTTCATAAATAACCTTATGCTTTCATTGTCTCCGATGAAACCAAAACCATTCCTTACAAGTTTTGAAGCAGAAACTAAAGACCTAGTTAACAGCGGAACATAAAGAACATCGAGAAGTTCTAAAACAAAGCCAAAAGATAATCTAAGCTTAAGGTTGCCTATTGCTTCCACATCTACTTTATTTCCATTCCCAACATGCACTATGAAAACTTCATTACTTGTTGACGCTGTTCTTTAAAAGCCCTGCAAGAAATTGGTAATATGTACCGAGCGGCTAGTGTCAAACCACCAAGTATTTGGGGGAGCCTCAACAAGTAAAGTTTGAAAACAAACAAAAACATTGACAATTTTATTACCTTTCTTCACTGCCCATTTCCTTTTCTTCTCACAATCCCTTTTGGTGTGTCCCAATTGTTTCCAAAAATAGCACCTCACATTTTCCAGGTTCACCTTATAGTTTTGAGGTCCTCTAGAGGAGGATGCAATATTGGCAGCAACATTAGAAGCAACATTAGAAGCTGTTCTTTAAAAGCCCTGCAAGAAATTGGTAATATGTACCGAGCGGCTAGTGTCAAATGATGCGAGAATTATACGCACACAAATTAAACCCTCTTTTTGTCAATTGTAGTAAGTATGTAAGTAGGGATCGTTCTGTACCGGGGATTAGGAGGGATTGCAAATCTCTTGGAAACTGACTCAAAAACGTAAAAACAAAGTTTAAAACACTAAACTAGACTCAAAGAATGCGAAACTAAATGCTTAAAACATAAAAACAAACCAAAAGACTCAAACATCACCCAAAACACTCAAAACTGCCTTAAAAACACTTTCTGGGCAGTTTTGAGCACCTTGGTGAATTTGGACGAATTTGTGCAACAAATTGAATCAAAACACTTATAAACACAAACTAAGACACTTTCTAACTAATTTGGACAATAAAGTAAAGGGGGATTGGTTTTGGATGAATTTGAAATTAAAACAGAAACTTGGAAATAAAAACAGATTGTAAAGATGAATGTGATGGAATTGAATGGATGGGATGTCTAGCTAAGGGGTTCATCTCCACACATGTTACACTTGCATATAAAACGATTTCTAATTGCTTTTCAATAAACCATGAATTCTCAACGCCCCAGATTAATCGTGAATTGCACTAATTAACCCTCAGATTTTCCTAACGTTATTGAATTGGATGATTGCATACGACAACCCAAAACATTCCCCACAAGTCCCCTACATGATTGCATAATAGAGATACAAGCAAGAATCATTAAGTTCTTTGAAAACCATAAGCATTGACGAAGCACTTGTTACTATGATTGCATGAAACTTATGCCAAGAATTTATTTAACGCGATTGTTTATAAGCAACCTCCACTACTTGTGAATATAAGTTCATAACTATTAGGTGAAACTCACTTATATTCTAGCGTCATATTCATGCATGAAGATTAAGCGTGCACTCTCAATAAACATACATAAATAGGTTATCAATCAAATAGTTAAACAAATTGAATCCACAACTTATGAAACGTAATTAGAAGTAATCAAATCATATTGCAAGCATAAATATATATTTCGAATCCCCCCCCTAGCCAAGGGGGTTT